CTGGACAAGATACAATCTATTTTCTAACACTTCATACAATGTTAGTTGCTACCTTCTCACTAAAACTCTATTAAGCCGATATTCTATTTTGTCGGCTGTACACTAATTGTTGATGCCGGTTTCCTAGCAACTATGTACGCACTTACGTCATCACGTGGATCACGTGATGTTCGTCAGACACTTCCGGGTTTCGGACGGGGATAGGCGGGATACAGTCACTATTGGTGAGTACAATTTACACTTATCCTATATAAACCCTGTTTTGTAATATACACTTGATCCTGAGGAAGACCCGAACGGGTCGAAACGTTGATCAATTTGTCATAATATGTGACGGAATAAATACTACTTGGAATATTTAAAAAAGACCGGAGAGTGCATCCTTATTATTGATATAATATATATATACACACACACACACACTTATGTATTAAAACTGGTTGTATAAGGATTTATAGGAAACAAGCTTTAAAGGGATCCCTCTCTGCCTCCCCCCCTCCCTTGTGCCCCATCCTACAAGGTAAATAAAGGGTTAAAAACATTGGCCCTGGGTTGAAGCTCCGTTCCCTCCTCCTTCCTGTGACAAGCATTGAATCAATGCTTTCCTATGGGGAAAAAAAATCTGATGCTGGAGGTCCTCATGGAGAGAGTGAGGATGGCCAACGTCCGATAAATGACCAAAAGTCTGCTACGATTTCGGAAGCCCTCCAGTGGCTGTAGGGTAGACAGCCACTGAGGGCAGACAGAGTTGCAATGTAAACATTGTAGTTCTCTGGAACTGCAATGTTTAACATTGCAGCACTAGGTGCAAAAGGAACACAGCACCCAGACCACTTCAATGAGCTGAAGTGGTCTGGGTGCCTACAATGTCCCTTTAAGTTTATTGTCAATGAAAGTGTACATGTCATGGTAGAAATACGTTATACTTGTCTTATAGAGCATAATATTTCATCTATACATTGTGCTAGTAGAATTGGAAGCAAATTTATAGACTAGGAGAAAATACCCATTTAAAAATTGATCTCCCATCGGTTAATCAATCCTTTGGCATAGACACTTGGGTAGAAAAATTGAGACAGGGCGAGCTACTACAGACAGCTCTCCTGAACTCCAAGCTTAGCAACCACAGTGGATGCTCTTTGGTTGCTTTTAATACGCACTAGTTGACACTACTAGGGCTCATATGGAATGGAGGGACTGATGTCACTCTATTCAGAAGACCGCTTGTCTCGGACATGGAGGTCTGATTGTCTGCAAGGAGAACAAATCAAGACAGCAGGTGGGCATTGGCAGACCAAATGACACCAGGTGAGTTTATATCTTAACTGAATACATCATCTCTACACCAAATGATGCATTAAATGCATTTGGGGGAGATTTATGTTAAAGTGAGCCCGTCATATCAGGATCCCTTTCATATTAAAAATGGCAGACCATAAGGGACTCACTGTGCAAAAATTGTTTGAAATTCACACACACATATTAAAAATCTCTCCAGCTCATGTTTTTTATTTGTACTAATGAAACAGCCTAAAGTTGATATTATTGTTGGCCATCGATTCACAAAAACATGGATGGCCATCTTTCATGAATGCTTACAGACTGACCCCTTCATAGCTGAGCGTTTACTATAATAAATGCAATGGAATGTTTCTTACCTCGACAGGGGATTTCAAGTCATCTGGTTTCTCCCACGTAGACTGTTTTGTTTCAATATTATAATAATATATTCTTCCATCAGGAGATTTATGTTCAGTCCACAAAGACTTCTGTCAAGTCAAGCAATGGTTTTTAATAGGCAAGGAAACCAAATCAAAATGAAAAAAAATTTAAAAAATTAAAATAAAAAAAGGAAAAAAAAGAAAAAGTTTAAATATTACTTACCGCTTTACTTTGCTCATCATTAGTGGAACTACTTGTTGTAATGGCTTGCTCTGGAATTATAGGGTGTGGGGGCTAAAGAAAAAAAAACAAAAAAAACCCACAACATTGTTAAATACAAAAAAAAGGTAACAAGTTTAGTGCAGGGTTACTAACCTGAAACTATCCAGATGTTGATTGGCACAGTAATTTATTTAAACACACAATTTTTGTATTAGCAATGGTTGAAGCGTAATCAAGGCTCCTTTTAAGCTGCTAAGGACATTTACCCATAATTCATCAATCAAATGAATCCCACAAAAGAGCAAACTGCTGAATTATTCTTTGTAGTTATTTTAATAGAAAATGCTGCACAATATCCTTTTTGTTCTAAATTAAAGGTTTACTATATGCATCATAAGTACTATAGCACGCCGTAGTGGTTCGGAAGCCAGCACTACCATGACCCAGTTTCTAATTGGTGAAACTAATTGGCAACATTTGTCCCCTTACATAAGTCCCAACAAGCACCAGTTCTGCTCTGAATCAGGCTGAACAACATCTGGCTTCAGCAGAGCTGCAGAGGATGGGCACTGTCAGCCAATGAATGGCATTATGTGAATAAAAAGTGCACAAAATATATTAGCCAGCCCATCCCAATGGCACAGCTAGAGATGGAGTTAAATCTCCAGCAGCAAAGATGTTAAATTCAGTATGCTCAGTGCTTGGTAGACCAAACAGACTGTAGGTGTTCACCTAAATGGTCATGATGCTTGGATTAACCCTTTAAAGTCAATGTACAAAAAAAGAATGCGTTTCAAGCAGCCTAAGTTGGCATCATCCATTAACATGTGAACATCGATCTGTCCATTTTAGATTAACAGTCATCCTGGAGTAAACTGCAACTTTACCATAGCATTTGAAATAAATTATAGACATATTTGTTTCCACGTTCATTACTAACCTGCGTAACTGCTGTTTGTGCTAAAGAGGAAAAAAAGACAAGACTAGTAAACACAAGGTAAAAGAAACATGGCTTCAATTTTAAATAAGCCGATCATTTGAATTTAGTTAAATGTAATTTGGACATACTGGAATGTTATAGATTTTACAAAATAGAAAGTTACCACACAGTACTTCAATAATTTTGAGCAACACTTTGATATTGTTGACCATATAACGAAAGAAACATTTCACTTGTGCTATCAAAATCATATAAGACAGAATGTTTCATAGGGAGGAAATATAAACATTCCAATAACTAATTAAAACACAAATAAATGGTGTGCTTGCACTGGTAATACTTGAAACAACATTAACAAAACTCTTTATCCTTTCTGCACCAGGGATGCACTGTTTGGCACTTAATGGGCTAATGTAATTGTCCAAACCTATGCTAAGCAACATAAGCGAAAGATTCCAAGGCTAAGATTAACAAAGATGGAGAGCCAGCACTAAGGTAATGAAAAGTCAAACATCACAAGAAATAATAAATAAGAGACCAATACTTACGAAGTTGGGGAGGATCCATGCTATTTACACCAGGCTGAGGGGAAAAAAAGCACAATGCAATATAATTATATGCCCCAGAAGAAGAATTGTGCACCTTTTGCATCTAGCAGTTGGCAAACAAAGCTGGGATCAATAAAATTGTAGCAGAGCAATAGGTGAGCTGGTGGCTATGCCTGGTCATAAAAACCAAATACTAACCGGTAAGACTGTTGGCAAAGGTCCAGGTGCAACATGAGTGGCCATCATCATTCCCGACATGAGAGGAGGGATTAGTGAAGGCATCTGTAAGGAATGTCAAAAACATTTCTAGAATAAACTATAGTGGACAATTGTAGGATTAAACTTGTATGAAATCAAAAGCCATATTAAAAGAACAAAAGGTGCAAAACCTGTATTTACCTGTCCCATCTGATGTCCACCAAGAGGTCCCATTAAGGGTGGAATAAGTCCATGAGGTCCCACTCCTGCTCGTGGACCAAGAGCCCCCAGTGGCATACCTGGAAAATGGGGCACGGGATTCATCTGAAGAAAACCAGCAGGTAAAAGTGCATTAAATGTAGAAATGTTCAGAATAAGACCAACTGGTACTTCAAGGTAAAGCAGAAAGTAAACCTTCTAGTTTACTGTGTGAGAACAAAGAGTTCTAGCTCTGAGGGCAAACCCGTAATAGTTTTCTAGCGGTTAACACAATCTATTGCCAAAAATGAAAATGAGCAATTATGAATCATGAAAACACTATATTGTGCTAATCATTTTTTTTTATTTTGTATTTTTGCTGTGCATGAAGTTGATGCATACAGACCTGAGGTACCCCAAAAGGTAATCCACAGGTTCGACATTTTGCAGTTCAATTAGGGTAGTAGATTATTTAAGCACAATTTTATAGTAATATGAACAAGAGTTAACATTTATGTGGGTTCTAGTCTGGTCTAACTAGCAGATATACAGGCTATGTGAATTGTGTGTGGTATGGCTAGAAGACAGGCTACGTGTGATGTTAGGAGTTAAACAGTCTGATCTACAACCAGGCTATGCAACCGATAAGTCAGTAGCTGACTGATAGCTATATAAAAACAGGCTGACTAGTCTGACAGGATGGGTACAAAGCGTAAAACATATATAAAGAGCATTGATCATATCTCCTTGGACACAGTATAGACATGCATACTCGATATGCCTGAAGGGATAAGGGTGGTTTATCAAGCAGTGGTTAAGGTGGGGTCGGGTGTAATCGCTAAATGACTATACATAGCGCAAGTGACAGGTTGCGGGTTAGATGTCTCGGTCCCACAAAATGCTATTTATAGCCGAGTTAACCCTGGGTGGCTCATGCTGTGTAAGACAGCCGTCTGGGTGGTAGCAGTTACAGAGACATCATGGTCTAGGGCAGTGTTTCCCAACCCAGTCCTCAAGGCACACCTACCAGTCCAGGATTTAGGGATTACCCAGTTGTGTCTAAGGTGTTTTTTTTTCTTCTTTGTAAAAACACTTTAGACACACCCTGTAATCCCTAAATCCTGGCCTGGTAGGTTTGCCTTGAGGATTGGGTTGGGAAACACTGGTTTAGGGCATAAGGTGGCTGGGTTAAGTAGTATCATGAGCAGTGGGTTATAAAGGTCAAACTCTATGTCGGTACACATCTGCGTGAAAGTAAAAAGAAGAAACATAAAATAACATGAGATCTGCATAAGCATGAGGCATCAGGACATCCGGAGTCAGCGTCCATGCGTGTCTGTGCTGGCGGCCTTGGGTATTTACAGAAGTTGGGGGACAGCCAGGAGCAAACAGGTTGTACCCTCCAGCTCAGGGCCAGTAGCAAGGCCGGCATCAGACACGGGGGTTTATGAATACCTGGTCCTTCCCTGTTGGGACAAGTCTGGAAGCCATGGTGTTGTTGCGCCACCTGCGCCGAGGTCGTTCCCCTGGTGGCCTTTGGCCCAGATGGGCTAGTGTGGAGAGTTGCGGACTGCTTCTTCAAGGTTTCACCCGAGGGTGACCCAGTCCCACTCTGGCCGCCGCTCTGTCGTCCCTCAGCTCTCCTGCAGCTGTGTCTGTGTAGCAGCGTGTCGGGCCTCAATCCGTGCACAGAAGGTATCAAACAGCTCGTTCAACCGGGTGATCAGTGGCTCGTTTGTACTGAGGCTGTACTCAGGAGGCACATTTCCTCCATTGGATTGCGCGTCCGCCATTTTAGATTGGCAAGCGGCCAGCAAGCATAGTGTATGGTTGGAGCTTGTGCCCACGTTTGGAGTCCACGGAGGCATGCGAATTGGGACGATTGGGACCGGGATAACCCCCACCGGTCGTAAGGGAGGGGGTAGCCGAGTACCGCAGATGCTGCGTGTGTTTATGGGCAGGGAGAGCGACCGTCTCCCCCTTGGTCAGCTTTGTGTAGGCCCCAGGCATTTCGGGAATGCGAGGTATCCCCCGGTTCACCAGTTTCTGTGGTGCAGGATGTGGTATGTTGGGGGTTCAAGATTAGGCGATTTGCCCACGATTTCAGTCGATAATTGGGCCCAGGAGCTCACAGACAGTGTGTCTGCTCAGCTCACAGTCAGGCTCTGCCCCACCCCATATAATTTATTTTACATCTAGAAGGTAAATATTGCCATTTACTTACAAAGGGTGCTCTCATCATCCGTGGCCCGTTAGGGAAAAGTCCAGGCTGACTTGGTCCATTAGTACCATCACCAGATGACTAAAACAAAAATCACATATAGTAAATAAAATTTTGGAGAATACCAAGTCAACCACAAAAACAACCAAAAAAAAAATTCATATGAAGTGTATTAATGTTTGATCCCAAGCTGAAACTTGGTGTAAACTTAGATTATATGTCAGTAAGAGAATAAAGATACAAATTGGTCTTGGCAGGTAAACTATCTCAGAGTTTCTTTTATGGGATACTCCAGGTAGTGGCAAATGCTATGCTTTGTGCATTTATTATGGTGCAAAGAGGTCCCTGTCTCACTACACCGAAGGGTGTATTTACTAAAGGGAGTATTCAAAGTGAATACAATGTTAATGTTAAGCTATATTGCTGGTACTACAGATCCTTCTGCCTCGCACATACCCCCACTTTCCTGATCCCAGGGCTGATGTCCCTTGGCACTGGGTCGCCGCTCCACTTCCTCCAATAACCCTCGAAGAGTGGGTGCTAATGCAAATGTGGCGAATACAGCGCACGCATTAGGCCTACCCATAGGAAAGGTTTGAATCAATTATTTTCTATGAGGAAATAGCTGATGCTGGATGTCTGACCAAAAGTCTGTTAACATCCAGAAAGCGTCTCTATAGGATGTCTTGTAGACAGCCACTGGAGAAAGATTTAGTGCTGCAATGTTAACATTGCAGTTTCTCTGGAACTGCAACAGGGACACAACACTTTACCCAGACAACGTCAATGATCTGAAGTGGTCTGTGTGCCTATAGTGTCCCTTTAAATGTGAGATGCCGTTGAAATCTCACTTTAGCAAATAACCCTATAAGACTTAAACTTATAAACACTAAAAACTTAAAGTGGCACTGTCATGCCAAACTTGCCTTTCTCCTATTGTTTCCTCTCTCACAAATCTACTCTTTTCTTTATTTCTGACCTAGTTTTCTTTAAAACATAAGACAAAGTAGGGACTACTTTGTCTTATGCATTTTTCCTATGGTTGACCTTCGTTGATCAAAGGAGGAATTAAAGTCAGCTTCATTTCCTGTGTTAAAGAAGGTCAAGCGTAGGGAAAATGCATAAGACAAAGTAGTTCCTTCTTTTTCTTATTTTTTTAAAGAAAACGATGAGAAATAAAGAAAAGAAGAACACATTCTGAGAGAGGAAACAATTGGAGAAAGGCAAGTTTAGCCTGACAGTGCCACTTTAACTTTAAATATGTAGGAAATTACTCTACTCGGCTATGAGCACAGCATGGCTATTTTAATGTGAATTTTACAATTTTGTTTTAAATTCTTAATGAATAAACCCATTAATTTATAAATTCCAAACTCACTCGAGCACACAATGGAAATGTGCGCCTCACCCGCACAAGTGGTGCTGAAACATGCCATAAAAGTACACAATTTCACTGAACGGACTAGCTTCACACACAAAGAAATAGGACTAGAGCTTGGTAAGCTGATTAAAGCCATCAGCCAGCTTCTTTCAGTGTTTGCAGGAGTTAAAGTCAGATATAAATAAAACCAAGGCCAAGTGCAAATTTGCTGTACATAGCAAACTTAACGAACATAAAACATAATGGCTGCAACTGGAAGTTCTGAGGGTTTGCAGCAAATGCAGGAACTTTAAATGCGAGTATATTTATTTTATTGCATTATTTACACAATACAGAAAAATAGAGGTGCTCCATGAACACGATTCCATACAATAATTCTGACGCATCCGTTGGCACTTCAGTGAAAGCAGTGTTCTGCATGACAGCTTTAGTACAGGACTCGACAAATCCCAGGTAGCCAATGGCGACTAGAATTTTCACCCTGGCACCTGGGATGTCAGCCCTTTAAGTCGGCAGCCGGCATACGAGGGAGCAGTAATATACCTGCAGCTCCTCTCTGCACCCTTGCGCTGTTTAATGATGCTGGGAGCCAGAATATGATGTCACTCTGGCCCTGGCATCACTACAGAGAGCGCGAGGGAGCAGTTGGGAGCTGCAGGTATATTACTGCTCCCTCGCACGCAGGAAGAGAGAGGAGCCCCACTGGACTTCCTCCAATCGCGTGGGAATGGAGTTTATACGCACCTTTTTTCCCCATGCTGTACTGGTCCCGCCTCTATGGTTGGGATAATCACGCTTGATGATCTCTGCCAATCCAATGCTTTCCATAGGAGAAGCTACTGAATCAATGCATCTCTATGGGGAACGTTCTAGCGTGGAGGCGCTGAATGTAAGCACTGCATACTGTACAGCACTGAGATAGGAAGCACTTTAGTTGCTGTGTGAATGACTGCCACTAGAGGTATCACTAGGCAGCAATGTAAACACTGCCTTTTCTCTGAAAAGTCAGTGTTTACATAGAAATACCTTCAGGGACAGGCTATAGACACCAGAACCACTACATTAAGCTTTAGTGGTCCTGGTGACCATCGTGTCTCTAAGAATTTTATTTTTGTCATTGAAAATGAAGCTTTGTAAGTTTAAAAAACCTGGCTCCTAACTTTTTTTTTTAGCTAGCTCCTAGATTCAAATCAAAATTTGTCATGCTCTGTCCTAGGAGAAATATTATTGTGAAGTATGAAAAATAAAATTAAAGGGACACTATACTCACCAGAACAACTACAGCTTATTGTATTTGTATTGTTGAGTAGAAGCATTCCCTTTAGGCTTTTTTGCAGTAAACACTGTCTTTTCAGAGAAAATGCAGTGTTTACATTACAGCTTCGTGATAACTCCACTGGCCACTCCTCAGATGGCTACTAGAGGTGCTTCCTGCCATTCAGTATCTCCCCCTCTGCATGCAGACACTGAACTTTCCTCATAGAGATGCACTGATTCAATTCATCTCTATGAGGAGATGCTGATTTGCCAGGGCTGTGTTTGACTTGTGCTGGCTCTGCCTCCTTGACAGTCTCAGCCAATTCTATAGGGAAGCATTGTGATTACTTCTGATGATGTCAGCAAACAGGTCAGAGGCAGCAGACTTGACTACAAGTAAGATATTACTATATTTAGGGAGGTGAGAGGGCTAGATGGTGATTTTAACAATACAGGGCGAGAAATACATGTTTGTGTTCCTAACACTATAGTGTTTCTTAATGGTTAGAGATCCATACTTCTGCATGGTCCTCTATACTGGAATCAAGCGCCTCCATCTTGTCTCCTTATCAATCACTAGCATAAAGCTAGGAGGAGAAAGACCATTATGATGTCTTCAATGCAATGTGTTCCAATGACTAAACTGGATTGTGATATCAATTGCTAAACCTTAATTTTAAACATCTAAAGTGACTTTCTAGTTTTGTATTCAATGTATAGGTTTCAACTAGTGTTTTTCGTGATTTACTGTGCTGCTAATGGTCCTACTTTGTTAGTAGCTCCACGACACGGCCCACTTCCCGATGTTTGACAGACCGCTCCTCCTTGGAAAGTACAAGAATGCTTCTCAAAAAATGCAAAGGCCCTCACATGACACCAATGTGCTGGATTCACGTCCAGCACATCAGCTCAGCAAACATGTGACAGGTGGTATCTTATTTCACTCTTCTCATCAACTGTTGTGCATGCAAGAGAGAAAGTTACCCCTCCATTCTTGCATGCAGGTTACCTCAATTCTTGTGCTATGTGTGCGGATACAGGGAGAAAGGTGACCAGAGTGCACCAACAAGCTTTTGAACACTTTATTTTGAAGACTACCCAGGAAACCAGGCAAGAGAAGAAACATGCAAGCACTGACAGCCGTCAATCAACCTAGGCCCTTGCCTGTATGTTGCTGGCATAGAAATGAGAGACAAGAAACCACTGAGCGGTTAGGGAGGATTTGCTAATAATTTGGTTAGCATAATGTAAAAATGAAATGTTAAAATCTTTCATTGTAAAGAAAGAGGATAGGAGCACATCAGAATGTTGAAAGTCATTTAAAGGAAAAGTTACAGGGGATTTTCAACATTTAATGCAATAACTCACAGGCCTAAATCAAAAACTTATTCTGTTTTGATAATTTCTAACATTAAGTAATTTGTTGTTTTGCAGTGGTAACCCTTTGTGCACCAAAACACACTTAACTTTCAAGGACCGGTTTTAATAGAAAAAAAAAAAAAAAAATCACTGTCCCCTTTTTTCACCGAAAATGTCAAAACATTGCCATTCAACATCATACTCACAGAACACGACAACGCTGAATGCTACCAACGCTTTGCACATTAAAACAATGAATTCAATGCATCTCTACGAGATGCATTGGTCTGGCAGAATTACACTCTTATCATACCATTCACACATCTCTAATACTGCTATTGATTCAAAAGTTGCTCTCTCTTTTTTTTTTCCTTACTACATTATTTACCCAAAATGTTAAAGGACCACTATAGTGCCAGGAAAACATACTCGTTTTCCTGGCACTATAGTGCCCTGAGGGTGCCCCCACCCTCAGGGACCCCCTCCCGCCCGGCTCTGGAAGGGGGAAAGAGGTAAAAACTTACCTTTTTCCAGCGCTGGGCGGGGAGCTCTCTGCCTCCCTCTCCTCCTCCGATCTGCCCCGTCGGCTGAATGCGCAGCAGCGGCAAGAGCTGCGGCGCATTCAGCGTCACATAGGAAAGCATTCATAATGCTTATGGGCGCTACAGCATGCTCACTGTGAAATCACGGTGAAGCGCATAGCGCCTCCGGCTGTCCATGAGACAGCCGCTGGAAATAGGGGGCTTAACCCATTCATAAACATAGCAGTTTCAGAGAAACTGCTATGTTTATGAAAAAATGGGTTAACCCTAGCTGGACCTGGCACTCAGACCACTTCATTAAGCTGAAGTGGTCTGGGTGCCTAGAGTGGTCCTTTAATTCTGAAGATGGGAAATAACAGAGTTCTAGTGTGGTTACCTGGTGGTTTGAAACCAAACAATTAAAAGGATACTATAGGCATAAAACTATTGTAGTTTAATGAAGCTGTATGGGTATATAAATGATGGCCTGGCAGGCTCAGTGAGATGCAAGCACAAGATATATACACCCAAACTGCGTCATTAAGCAAAAGTTGTTTGGGTACCTATAGTATCCTTTTTGATTACATAATAACTTAGCCAACTTCCAGCAGTATAATGGTCCCTTGCCATTGTTGGATCATCTCAGACATCAGCTTATATACACAACAGTTCCTTTTATGAGACACAGGCCCCATAAATTTATGCCAAGGATTATTAACCACAAGTCCACACAATGATACCAAAAACTAAATATTTCTGGAATAGCAGAATTGTATAAAACAGTTAAAGGGATCAGAACAAACCCGTTTTCCTTGCACTATAGGCTCCTGGAGTGTCCCCCCTCCCTCGGCGACGAGGGGGGTTAAAATCCCTTCAGCCACTTACTTTAATCCACCCCGCGCTGCCTGCAAGAGGCGTGCGCATTCAAACCCGCCCATAGGAACGCATTACTCAATGCTTTCCTGTGAGAATCGTTTTTGACGCTGGAGGTTTGTGAGAACTTCCAGCGTCAAATAAGTGCGATTTACTCAGTGTAAACCGCGTAAGCGCCTCTAGTGGCTGTGGCGTAACCCCAAATGTAAACAAAGGAGTTTCTCTGAGACTGCTATGTTTACATCAGGCAGGGTTAACCTTAGCTGGACCTGGCACCCAGACCACTTCATTAAGCTGAAGTGGTCTGGGTGCGTATAGTGGTCCTTTAATAAAAGGCTGCCAGACCCACCATGTTTGCCAGTGCTGCCAGACCCACCATGTTTGCCAGTGCACACGTCTCCATGCTGTGTAGGGCAGTAGATGGAAGGTGCTGCACTGCAGGCTGTGATGTTTAAAGGGTGCAGTAAAGCAGCCAGTTACACAGGGAGGGACTCCCACACCGCCTGGCTCGGCACATGGTTAATACAACACAGGGATAACGCGGCGGGGACGGAGGGGAGCCGTCGGTGCACTAACTGCTGTGCTCCCCCTTAGCCAGCCCCGGCCTCCCACACATCCAGTGACAAACCCCGAGTACCCAGCCCCCGGCTCTCCCCGGCCTGTCCCCGGGGCCGGGAGGGAAAGCAGGCTGGATAGCTTACCATGATGTCTCTCCTCTCCGGCCTCCTCTGCCGCCTCCCAATATGGAGCGATATGATTGGCCCCTGGCGCTCGCTCTCAGGCAGCCGGCACTGGGGGGGCGGAAGTCGGAGGGAAAGCGACAAGAGGGAGTTTGGGCCAATCAGGATTGGCTTTGCTCAGCCGCTGTAAGAGCTCGGCGGCTATTGGCCGGTTCGTGCCTGGCGCTGAGGCAGACCTAGGCCTGGCAGGCAGACAATGCTTTATTCAATCTGGTTATTACTGTCATAACCCGGGGAACACATTGTATCCACAGAGCAACCAGCACACAGCAAGGGGGCAGCCCGGCAGGAACAGGCACCAGGTATACACAGAGATCACTATATGGCCATTAACTGCTGCAGGGAGAGGAGCTGGGCTGGAATCCCAATAGCAGGATGGAGGGGAGAGGAGCTGGGCTGGAATCCTAATGGCAGGGTGGGGGGGAGAGGAGCTGGGCTGGAATCCCAATGGCAGGATGGACGGGAGAGGAGCTGGGCTGGAATCATAAAGGCAGGATGGAGGGGAGAGGAGCTGGGCTGGAATCCTAATGGCAGGATGGAGGGGAGAGGAGCTGGGCTGGAATCCCAATGGCAGGATGGAGGGGAGAGGAACTGGGCTAGAATCCCAATGGCAGGATGGAGGGGAGAGGAGCTGGGCTGGGCTGGATGGAGGGGAGGAGCTGTCCTAATGGCAGGATGGAGGGGCAGGAGCTGGGCTGGAATCCTACTGGCAGGATGGAGGGGGCAGGAGCTGGGCTGGAATCCTAATGGCAGGATGGAGGGGGCAGGAGCTGGGCTGGAATCTTAATGGCAGGATGGAGGGGACAGGAGCTGGGCTGGAATCCTAATGGCAGGATGGAGGGGAGAGGAGCTGGGCTGGAATCCTAATGGCAGGATGGAGGGGACAGGAGCTGATCTGGAATCTTAATGGCAGGATGGAGGGGACAGGAGCTGGGCTGGAATCCTAATGGCAGGATGGAGGGGAGAGGAGCTGGGCTGGAATCCTAATGGCAGGATGGAGGGGACAGGAGCTGATCTGGAGAGCTTCCCCAACTCGGCCATTGTCACACACAGGGTTATTTACAAAGAAAAGTATGATTTTTCAACTTTTAGGGCAAAAGTAATATCCAATTCTGTTTTCCAGTTTGGCTAGTTTGGCCTTAAATTTACAATTCACTGTTGGGTCCCTGGCAATTCTCACTTCAGTCCATAACCCTGTCAGTGTGATAATTACTGTTATTTATATAGCGCCAACAAATTTCACAGCGATGTACACTGGGTGGACTAACAAACATGTAATTGTAACCAGATGAATAGGACGCACAGGCACAGAGGGGTTGAGGGCTCTGGCATGTGAGCTCAGCATGTCAGCAGAGGGAAAGAAGGTTGGTAGAAGAGCGTTTCAATTAAACCTGACAGGAGTCTGTTGTAGGCTATTAACAGAACAGGAGATACATTCTAATTTAAATGCACCGTGCAATAATGGAAGCTTAAAAATGTAGATTATAAAAAAAATAAAAAAAAATTCTCTAGGAAGTGTGTAGGAAGAATGTGTAAGTCACAGGCAGTGAAGGTGTGGCTAGGGTTACATAAACACTGCTTTAAAGGACCACTATAGGCACCCAGACCACTCCAGCTCAATGAAGTGTTCTGGGTGTCAGGTCCATCTAGGGTTAACCCTGCAGCTGTAAACATAGCAGTGTCAGAGAAACTGCTATGTTTACGTTTGGGTTAATCCAGCCTCTAGTGGCTGTCTCATTGACAGGCGCTTCTTACTCTGATTTTCACAGTGAGAAGACGCTTGCGTCCCTAGGAAAGCATTGAGAAATGCTTTCCTGTGGACTGATTGAACGCGCGCGGCTCTTGCCGCACATGCGCATTCCTCAAAAGAGGGAGGAGAGTCCCCAGCGCTGAAGAAAGGTAAGAGATTAACCCCTTCCTCCCCCTAGCGCCCGGCGGGAGGGGGCCATGAGGGAGGTGGGGGGGTGGTACCTATTTAACACTATAGTGCCAGGAAAATGAGTTTGTTTTCCTAGCACTATAGTGGTCCTTTAAAGACCATGAATTGAGCAGTCAAGCTGCAGGGCATGATACATAAACCAAAGCTACTTGATTAAACTAAAATTATTTTGGTGCTTAGTCCTTATCAAGAAATCTGCAGCATATTAAATCTTCCTACTATACGGTAGCTTTTCTCACGTGATGCCCATTAACATGAAAAATGACATACATACAGGGGGAAAATGTGACTGGATTTTATTTTTTCTTTAAGCTGCAACAATTCTATTATCTCACACAGTGGCATCTTGCTGGTAGAAGTTATATAAATTGTAAATAACTATTGATAATCCAGCTGTTGTAGACAATGTTACTCTTCGGCTGGCTGAGCATCACACAGACTACAACTGCTGTTGAGAACTACTGTATGCACTAGTATAGGGATACATTACCTTTTTAGGGAGGGACCAAGATAACTGATATTTTTCCCCTTGGCCACTAAATGATTTGGCACCTTGCACACACGTATCTACTCTCATCCTCCCCAATTTTGCCTGTTTCTCCTCTCCTGTGCCCTTCCCAGTTTCTTCACAATACTCCCCTTTACACTGTAACTCTCCCCATTATTTCTTCTCTTTCTGCATATGTCCTTTTCACAGTCCTCCAAGAAGTAAAGTTGAGGAAGAGACCTATCGTCAGGTCTTTCATATCAGTGGAGTGTCGACGCATTTCCATTTTCCGACAGTAGTGAGGCAAAAGACAGTAGGCGTGCAAACTCAGTTGTTGTTGTTATGCAGAATTTTGTATGCGGAGGGCTGTGGGCTGGCAGCAATGCATTCTCTGGCTGGAGGTTGTACTCCTCTATTGATTAAGCAGGAGTTGAAAAATGTTTTAATAGTTAAAGGAACACTATAATGTCAGGAACACAAATGTATTCCTGACCCCATAGTGTTAAAAACACGTTTGGTCCCTTGCCCCCCTGAAATAATAATAAAACTCGCCTTTTTTCCAAGCGCCGTGTGGGACTGCTGGCGCTTGCCCCACCTCCTCGGCTGACATCAAAATCTCATAGGAAAGCATTGAACTGATTGAGATTGTCAATTCTGAGATCTCCGCTAAGGTGGCAGGTCCAAACACCATCCTAAGCAATCAGCATCTCCCCCTACAGATGCTTTGAAACAAGCGTTCAGCGTCACCTTGCAAAGCGAGTAGATGCTGAACTTTTCTCTGAAGCTTTGTCTTTTGTTAGCTTTCTAAATTAGCTGTATTACCCTACATTTCACAACTTTCTTAATAATAATTATAATAATAATTCAGCACAATCTTCTGTCTAGATTCTAGTCCATAAACCCGAAACACTGTTATTCACTGAGAGGGTTTATTCACTTAACCCATTAAGGACCAAACTTCTGGAATAAAAGGGAATCATGACATGTCACACATGTCATGTGTCCTTAAGTGGTTAATGTGGCACTGTCACCATCTGGGGACGTTGCCATCACTGTTCGGGGTCTGGTAAAGGTGAGATATACTTAACTGAACCAGTTCCTCACAGGCACATCTATCTAATTGCGTTGGGTTCCTCTCAGCTCTGTTGTACTTTTGCGCGTGCCGAGTCCTTACTTTGTCTCTGTATATCTCTTGACTAGGTTGGAATTTCAGTGAAGTTCCAACACAATGAAAAATAATATTTCATAAAAATTCTATATCTATATTAAATACTTATTTTTCGTGGCGGGGCGACAGTGCTGCTTTAACTTGAAAATATCCAATAGTCCAAATATGATAAAATGTCAAATTTAGCAAAATGTCCCCTCTCATCTAGACCAGGTTATTCCCTACATAGAAACATAGAATGTGAGGGCAGATAAGAACCATTCGGCCCATCTAGTCTGCCCAATTTTCTAAATACTTTCATTAGTCCCTGACCTTATCTTACAGTTAGGATAGCCTTATGCCTATCCCACGCATGCTTAAACTCCTGATTTCAGCAGGGTGCAGCCATAGTAGAGTTAGTATTTTAGTCTATATTTTACAGTTTGAATATAATACTGATTGGCACAGCTTGGCTATTTTCCAGTGGAGGTGACATTCAGTGTAAGATAAATCCCTGCTTGGTGAATAGCCTCCTACATTGCTCCCATAGCTGTATTGATTGAGGTCCAGGTCCAGGCTGTGTGGGCAGTGCAGCTCCTATGGAACGTTCTCCTGATTGACAGCTGCAGTCGCTGAGTGACGTACAACCTGCGCGCAGTGTCTGTGTACACTTGCACACTTTGCACGTCAGTGACGTAGGACGCGCGCGCCGGAAGCAGTGCTGCTGCTGCTGCTTGGCATGCGCATTGATACCTGTAAAGGCGGTGGGATTCAAAAACGCGGGGAACAGGGCAGCAAAAGGAGTTCCCGTGTGTTTTGGCGGAGGAATACGGCGCCCAGCGGCTTACCTGTGCAGACGGTGGGTCCCCCTGTGTGCTGGGGCAGGCTGACACGTGGGAATTAGCGGTAACCAGGATAAAGGGGCTGCCATTCACACTGGCTGCCAATGGGTTAAACAGTAATGGGTTAAAATAATTTAATTTGACATATACAGTGTCAGTGTGTCTCTAAGCTGCCCTAACATCATCATTCTTATCATTTCATTCACCTGAGTTATCATCATTTGTGTTATATTTATATATGTGTGTGTGTATTGTCCTAACATATTTCTAATTATTTCCTTCATTCCTTTCATCTTGCATATTTTGCTTTGAAAATGAGAAGCAATATACATTAAATACACGAATGCTGGACAAAAATGTCACGTTATTAAAGGGCCACTATAGGTCTGGGTGCCAGGTCCAGCTAGGTTTAACCCTTTCTGTTGTAAACCTAGCAGTTTCAGAGAAACTGCTATGTTTATATTAGGGTTAATCCAGCCTCCAAAGCCTCTAGTGGCTGTCTCACTGACAGCTGCTAGAGGCGCTGCTAGAGGCGCTTCCGGGCTTCTCACAGTGATTTTCACAGTGAGAAGATGCCAGCGTCCATAGGAAGCGCCTCTAGCAGCTGTCAGTGAGACAGCCACTAGAGGCTTTGGAGGCTGGATTAACCCATATGTAAACATAGCAGTTTCTCTGAAACTACTAGGTTTACAACAGAAATGCTTTTTTATGAGACTGGCTGAATGCGCATTCAGCCAGGGACGTCAGAAGAAGGAGAGTCCCAGCGCCGGGAAGGGAGCCCGACGCTGGGGAAAAAAGGTAAGGGATTAACCCCCTTCCTCCAACTTCAGCCCGGTGGGAGTGGGACCCTGAGGGTGTGAACACCCTCAGGGCACTATAGTGGTCCTTTAAAATATAGTCTAACTCCCTAATCTTAAGGGAGCCGACATCTAACTCAGTGCCAACCGTAACTCGACTCAATGCAATGTCCATTTTCATTGATGGGTATGAGGTCCATCAGCAGGTAAGGTAAAAGGTTCTCATGGTTCATGTAGGTCAGTACTTGCTTGTAGTGGTCGGATACCGCCTGCATCCACAAACTATGTGCAAGTTAGGCTATCGATGGTTATACTGGTTGGTTTTTTTTTTTTTTGTTTTCTTGTAAATCTGCTATAAAAATGTTTTTGTCTCAACCTGCTCTTCTTCCTTTTTTTTTTTTTTTCTAATTTTCTTCCCTTGTAACCCCAAAGTTACATGTACACTAATATTGCAGCACCCAGGTGAAGGAGGAAGGGAGAAATCATAAAAAGTTTTTCCCTCTTCAGTGCTTCGATCTTTCACTAGTTGACCATTTTCTTGATGGAGTCATTTGCTGGGAGTCATGTCACTGGTTGTACATGTACAAGAATAGACAACATAGGTCAGCCAACGAGACTATAGGACCTCCGACAGGTTCTGTAGTGCATGCTCTGTGAAATACCATGGTATCTATTTTTGCATCATGAGAGCAGGTGCCTGTTCTATTTTCCAGAAATCTTGGCTGGTAATTGAGTGGAAATAGCAACATTTGGACGCAGAAGCTTCACTGCATTGGATTTTACATTTTTCAGACTTTATGAAAAACAAGTGACAGGGATACTTTTAACTTTGATTATCTGATTAGGAATTCTGTTTTTGAAAACATTCATACATTTAAAGCCTAATGCTGTGTTTTTTTTTTTTTTTTGTCAATAGATTCCAGGATGGAAATATACAGTAGGAACAGCACTAGGAGAGTGCGGAGTAGTAGCCGTTTATCTGTATCTGGTGCCTCCGCATCTCAGACAACTGAAAAATGGGGTGAAAAAGATGGTAGTCGTGAAGAATCTGTTGCAAAAAATCTGGACAGAGACTTGTATGAGGCTGCTGGTCTAACTGCAACTAGTCTCCAAGATGAATCAATGCTTTATCAAGGCAATGAGCAAGCTGTCCAGAATGGAGTCATTGTATCAGAAGTTATCAGCTCCAAAAGAAATAAAAGATGGCCTGCAAGATTGTTCTCCATGCTGTGCTGTCTTGTCGTTGTTTGCATCCTCGCTGTTATGCTTACAGTTATTTATCTCATGATGGATGGTGAGTACTCGCTCTCTCAAAACAATGTTTAAAGTAGTTCTGAGGGGTATATACTTAAGTAATGTACATGCTGTCCAGTGTAGAGCCATAATAAGTGTGCACTGGCATATTGTGCACAACTCATAAATTTCTTCCTCTCCTGATATCTATGAAAGCCAAAGTAACTACGGTCTATTCACGAAATAGAAGTGCTGTCTGCTATACTTTGTTGATTACTAATGGTTAAAACAAGAGTAAGCAAAAAAAGTCAGTTCCTTTAACCCAGTAAACACTATTTCATCATTTACCTGGCCGAATAACGCAGAGGACGTCCAATGTACTTCTGGGCCACAATGACTTTGCCGTCCATAATTCAGTGGACGAGCACCTGCATGTTTATGCATCTAACAGATAAATGCCAAAGGCACACATGCATGCTCGTCATTTTCGACAACATTGCGATACACATCCATGTTCCATGCATGTGATACAGCAAGAGTTTAGCAATATCTGTACTTTTTACCGGCAAAGCATGTAAATAAAAGTACCTTTAAAGAATTAAAAAAAAAAAAAAAAATCACCATCAATAGTTACATTTTATACGCACACTAGGCCTCATTAGGGTTTAAACATTGCAAGATATTTTTGGCTTGTGTTTTAATATTTATGTTGATCTAACAAACTGTTTTGTTTGATGAAATAAGAACCTGTCATCTATTCCATTTGCTATATTCTATTGCTGACTAACAACATCTATTTTTAATTTTTTTTAAATTTTTTTTTTTATTTTTGTTTCATTTCTTTTCTCAATGTAGATATGAAATCTGGAAGAGAGGTTAATGAAGATGGAGTAAAAACTAGTATATTAGGTATGTCCATGTATGTATTTGGGTAGAAGTGTGAAGAGACTAACTTCCATGTAATCACAGCTTAATTCATATGTGAATTTAAGCAAAATCTTTTATTTACATATGTTTGTCACACAATTTCCTCTTTTGGCATAGGATTCTGGGGCTTGTTTGTCCTGTCTGTCATAGTGGGACTTTCCTGCTGCAGCTTTTCCTGGACTGTGACATATTTTGACTCATTTGAACCTGGAATGTTTCCCCCTACTCCATTGTCCCCAGCACGTTTCAGGTAAGGCCTGTTTGAATTTGAGAAAATATGAATTTTTACAAGTGCATTAAATTGCCGCACTTCCTGACCAAGAAGAGGCTCCACTTGTTCGGGGCCTCTGCTTCTTTTTTTCTTCTTTCTTCTTCTTCTTTAATTAAAGGGACATAAAAGTAAAATTCCACTATTTCAGTCAGATGGTCTCTCTGAGAGCCCATCTTATTGGTACAGTGTAAAGATTTGACACGCATGTGCACTAACCTACCAATGCTTTCAAATGGGAAGATCATGTCTCGATGAACCAAAGAGGTAAAATGTTGGAGACCAGTGCTGCGAGGGAGAAAAAGTAGGTAAACTCACTTCTTTTTTTTAACCCTAGCAAGGGGGATAGTCACCTAACTGGTGACTGGGGCTCTATGACATTAGGAATACCCATTTGCCCAGCAGTGGCAGTTGTCCCCCAGCCACAGTACCACTTATTAGTTTGGCTAGTAACCTCTAATTCTCTGGCATTGGTAGTTGTGGAGGGGAACGTTGCTTAGCAGACACCTGATACGTTCAGCTGTTCTAAAATGGGTTGACTACTTAAAAGGAGTGTGTGAACACCAGGGCACTACTGGCACCATAACCACTACAACATGCTGTAGAACACTCCACTGCACAAATAAAAAAATCACTGTTTAGTAGATACACCCAAAATGAAACCATTTATGCATGCTTAATTGGAGATATGTCTAAAACCGCCTGCTAAACCTGCAGTTCTCTTGTCGGCAGCCTTTGCAAGTCCTCTTTTAACCCAGACTTCTGTGGCTGTCCAATCCTAGATTTCCCAGAACAGCTCAATGAGAAGTCTGTGCAAGGCAGGTGCTCTGGGCAATTGCTGAGTTTTTCTCCACTGGGCTAGCCAAAGCAGAAAGTAACAGAACCTGTCTGCTTGAAAGTCAAAGGGGTGTAACCAGGTTAATTTATAAAAGTGTCCGGTTTTTAAGGATATCTGCACTTTTTCCAAAATACAAATAAATAGGACATATTCTTCACACACAAAGCTTTTCAGCAAAATAAAGTGCTCTAGGGGTCTGGCGTGTCCATTTAAAGCATGGGTTGCCAACCTGGTCCCTACCGCCCACCAGTGGGCGTTTTGGGATTCCAGGTGGGCATGAAAGCACGAGCGTGTGTGCCTGAACGCGCATGTGCGCCAATATCGCACGGGCGTGTGCTCGTGAACGAGTAACACGCAGGTAGAGAAAGGGGAGGAGGTAGGGGGATACACGATAGCAGGGAGCGAAGTACTTGGAAAATAGGAGAAAGAAGGAGCAGAGTATTTGTAAAAAAAAAAAAAAAGGAGAAAGAAGGAAAATAAAAATATAAAAAGGAAAAGGAGAGAATTGTTTTTGGATATTATTATTATTATTATTATTATTATTATGTGGGCTACCTAGCTCAGCCTTCCTGCTGGGCATTGCTATAAGGAAGGTAAAAAAATATAAAAAAGGAAAACAAAGGTGGGGAGGGGAATTGGGAGAGGAGGGGATGCACAGATGAGAAATCATATTCTGACTAAACAGAGAAATAGTCTGAATATCACCGAAAGAGGAGACCTTTGTTTGTTCCTTACTAAAATCGAACCAGATATCAAATATTTAGTCTCGCAGCATAATCCTCAAGGATCTCATTAATCACTAGTTAAAGATAATTTCAATTTACTTAATTGGTTTCTCATTAAACTTTTATAAAGTTAAAAACATTATAAATATGCATAAAGTAGAAATAAAAAGATAAATGTACGTACATTTTTAAAAAAAAATCCTCATTCTAAAAAAAATCAGCACTTGCACGAAAACTGGTGGGTGGTAAGGACATTTTTCAATCAAGAAAGATGCATTAGTGGGCAGTAGATAGAAAAAGGTTGACTACCCCTTATTTAAAGCAATACTATAGATAATAAATCCACTTTCATTTAATGAAGCCGTTTTGGTGTATAGATCATGCCGCTGCAGTCTCACTGCTCAGTTCTCTGCCATTTGAGTTAAATCACTTTGTTTATATAGTCCTGGTCCTACCTCCCTGCATGTGACTTGCACAGCCTTCCCAAACACTTCCTGTAAAGAGAGCCCTATTTAGGCTTTCTTTATTGCAAGTTCTGTTTAGTTTTACATTTCTTATCTCCTGCTCTGTTAATATTGTCTTTTTAGACTCTCCTGTGTGCACAGCTGATTGAAAGTGTTTTTTTTTCATGGAGGCTAAATGAGTCACAGCCAGGTGTGGCAATGGCTGCATAAGCAAACTGATTTCACTCGTAAATGGCAGAGAATTGAGCAGTGAGACTGCAGTGGCATGTTCTATACACCAAAACTGCTTCATTAAAGTAAAGTAGGTTTTGTGACTGTAATGTCCCTTCTAGTAGGAAACCACTAACCTACCAAATTAACTAGCCTGTGAAAAGGTTTTGTCAAAAATCACTAAAGTTTGTAATTATTAAATCTGTAATGTCCCTTTAAACTATCATGCTTATTGGGAAGTTTGTTTCTGGGTCTGTTTAGCTCTCCCTCAATATAAAGCTCCACATACCACAATTTTTGTGATACTGCTCGGTAAAAGAACACACATGGACTTTAGCTGCTTTACTTATATAAGCACATAAATAAAATGTAAAAATCGTATTTATTTCCTACCATGTTAGCGTACAGCGTAGATGAACTTTCAGAGCAAATACCGACCGGTATATGTTAAATGAATACCTCGTCGCTCTGCTATTAATGAATGCACCCAATAAATTGGTCAGTAGATGGTGTGCTTGTATGGTAAGCTGCTTCAACAAAGCTCAGTCCAGAGATATCAGCATGAGCTCCATTCGTTTTATACTGTGTAAATTAGTCCTGTCTATAGCAATTTAAAAAAACAACAACAATTTTTAAGGTGCAGTCTCATATATTTATCTAATTTAGATGTGTTCTCTATTTTTGATTAGAGTACCATTTTTTTTAATTTTTAAGAATAAAAAAAAAGCAAAAACAACTTTAAACCTATTTATTCCAGTGCCAAGACAATCTTATCACCAACGGAGAATAGCATTGCAGAGAACTTTTGTCCAGTCATATGCTTCATATAGAGAGGCATTGAAGACACACAACACATGCGCGCTAAACACCAATGTCTTCCAAATCAATTCAAACTCAATCCAATGATTCTCATTGGAAACCTTGGATGCACACGGAATCTGGTGTTCGCATACTTTATCTGCTGGTGCCTGATGTGAAATAGAAGCAGTTTTTTAAAAATCTGTCAGAAGTCCCCAATGGATGTCTGGCTGACAAAGACTAGTAGATGTGAGTATTACAAAATATAAACTGTGCGATTTCTCAGAAACTGCTCTGTTTTCATTTGCTAAACTGCCGTGGCAACAGCTATGCCTCAAAATCTGTACATTAAAGGAACACTATAGGGTCAGGAACACAAACGTGTTCCTGACCCTATGGTGTTTAATCCACCATTTAGGTGGCTTGCCTCCTTAGAAAAGGTGAAAACTAACCTTATTTCCAGTGCCACGTGGGTCTGCTGATGCTGGCCCCACTCCTGAACCGCCTTCTTGGTGACATCAGAATTGCAGATTTTTAGCCAATCCAATGCTTTTCCCAGACTAAAAAAAACAAAACCCACGTTGATTTCAAACGTTAAAAACCTCTTTTTATGTTGTTCATCCAACAGAATGCAAAACCCCAGTTTGAAGTGTTGGCCAGTTGTGCCACAAAAAAGGGGGGTGGGCAAATGTTTTACTCCATAATGACCATCTGATTTCTACTCTGATCAACAAACTGTTCGTATGCATAATACATCCTATTTATATCCTTGAGTATTCTGTTTAAAACAAAACATAGAGTCCTTTTTAACAAAAAGTAAAACAAAAGCTACATTATTAAAGAATGAACAAGAAAAATGATTATCACTTCAGAAAGTTTTGTTACAAGAATGCCATAAAGGCTGAGTAGCAGGCTTGACACCTCCAATTTTTAATTCTTGAGACCTGCAATAATTAGCTTAAAATAATCTTACTAGAATTGCAAACGTCTTTAAGTTCTGCAGCAAACAGTCCTCTCCCAGAACAGCAGGAGGATACAATAAACAGAAAGCTCTCATTCTGGTCTTTTCTTGTGAAACCCTATTTAGCTGGAGTTTATGGGAAAAAGTAGTTCAACTCCCAGGGCACCTCTTGTTATAGTGAGACTGCAACCCATTTATATAAAAACCTGAATCAAAAGCTTGTGCAGTGCTGCCCTTGGGCTCCCTACTGCTGCAATTCCTTCTTTGATAGCACTGATCCAAGATCTTCAACAAATTGGTGGCTATAAGCCACATTGAACAGAGTGTACCGTAACCTTTCGAAAACTGGAAAATTATTGTGATTTATTGAGCAGGCCAAAACGAATACTTGTAAAGTAACTGGATGGAGTGAACATACAACTAAACTGAAAGTATTTTTAGGACAAAAAATGGAATTGTCTAAGCCAGCGTTTTCCCAATTAGTGTTCCACTTTCGCTTAAGGAAGCAGTTTTGGCCTAAGCAAATCGCCGCGGCCCAAGCATTTTGGGCCACCCGATGGTTATCCCTAAACAGGGGTCCGGTCAGGCGCTGCAGTCATCTAAAACCGCGACGGTACCCCTGTAGAATTGGATGCTGGGAGGAAGTGACGGCACTTCCTCCCAGACAGAGCGCGCCGCCTGGAGGGGGAGATGGAGCAGCGGGGACTGAGCACACCAACCTCAGCCAGCAGCACTGAAGATCCTCCTGCAGAAAAAAACATGTTTTTACACACACGCACGCACTGGCACATACAAACACACTGTATGTATATCTGTGTGCCAGTGTGTATCTGTGTCAGATACACACACTGGCACATTTATAAAAAAAAAAGTCCTTACAGCCCACCAGTTTTCGCGCAAATGCTGAATATTTTTTAGAATGTACGTACATTTATCTTTTTATTTCTACTTTATGCATATTTATGTTTTTAACTTTATTGTTTTCTCATTAAACTTTATAAAGTAAATTGAAATTATCTTTAACTAGTGATTAATGAGATCCTTGAGGCTTATGCTGCGAGACTAAATATTTGATATCTGGTTCGATTTTCGTAAGGAACAGACAAAGGTTTCCTCTTTCGGTAATATTCAGACTATTTCTCTGTTTGCTCATATGATTTCTCATCTGTGCATTCCCTCCTCAATTCCCCTCCCACCTTTGTTTTCCTTTTTAATATTTTTTTTACCTTCCTTATAGCAATGCC